GCAGGTGTCTGGCTGGACGGGAGGGTGGGATGGGCTTGGGCGGCGCCAGGCTCGGGGCTGCTCCAGGAGGGAGGAGGAAGTCGGGGAAAGGCTCCGAGCGGGGCCCTTGAGAAGAGGGGGAGGCTTGAGGCTGAGGAGCCCAAAGGCAGGGCAGAAAACAGGTTGGGGGGGTGGGAAATGGAGTCCCCGTTAGAAAGGAGAGGTTTGGGAGCAACGAGTTGGGTTGGGGAGCGACCCGGGCAAGCCCTAGCCCTAAGCAAACAAGTTTGTTGCCCTAGGCGGAGGAGACTGTTATATGGGCTGCCCTGTGTGGTAGTGAGCTCGCCGTTCCTGGCATGGAATGTGGATGGCCACCGCAGAGTGTACAAAGGGGGCGCCTCGTGGTGAGCGAGACTTAGTGGCTTGCGGGTCTCCTTCTATCACTTGGAGTCTGAGCGGCATTGAATACCTTCATGCCCCGCACAGCAAGGGAAAAGTTGGAGGAAACCATCCAGGTGTCAGTCTTCCAGAGCTGTCTCATGACAGGTATCGAGGCCATGTCTGCAATGAAAGTACGGGGCCAGGGTGCTCTCCAGAACTGTCCCCCAGCGCCAGCGACGTCTATCAGAAAGCTCAAGTCTACTCTTTCGCCCTAGGGAGCCGTAGCAGCCGCCGCCCCGGCAGGGAAGGAACCTAAGGAATCTCGGCTGCCCAGCGACCCTTCCTCACTTTTGGAAATGGCGGGTGAAATCACAGAGACCGGGGAGCTCTATTCTCCCTACGTGAGTTTTACTTTCAGGACCTGTTTTACCCACATCATTGCCGCGGGCTCCTAGAGAAGCACCGCGCTTCGGGGACTGTACTAGTGAGGACAGCGGCTTTGAGACCCTGGTGGAAGCCACGGTGGGGGACGCCGATGGGCAGCCACGGCCTTGCGGCTGTCCTGGCTCAGAGCATGTTATGAGAGTTTGTTCACGAGTTGGATGCTGGTCAGAGAGTGGTCAAGGAAAGAAAGCTGACTTGCTGATTCCTTGTGATCTTGATGCCGTGACCACTAGCACTTGCAAATGGTGCTACTGCTCTGGGGATGGTGACTGACAGCTGTTGACTCTGGGTTTGCTCATCTCAGCAGTTTGAAAGCACTTTGGTTGCCAGCTGAATTGTAAGTTGTGCAACTTTCATGGTCTTGGGTGGCGTAAGAGGCAGAGAAGGCTTGCAGAGACTTCCAAGTGCAATTTGCTGGAGTCTGTAATTAGAACAATTAGAAGGATTGATTTCTTACTGTGTTGGGTCTGTTACCCTCCCCCCAACACCCCACTTCCCACAGGTGCGCTCCGTTTATCTTCTTGGTGTAATGAAAGATTGGTCCTGGTTACATCACGGAGTCCTCTTGCCTGGATACCTAGCTGGAGGATTAGAATAATCAAATGATTGACTCATGGTGCTACTAAGTATCCCAGGGAAAAGCAGCACTGCCTGAAGTGACAAAAGTCCTCTTTCTAGAATTTACCTAACCTTAAGCAGCTTCCCCACTTTGCACTTAGTTCCTAGCCTGGGGGTCCCTGCTTTGTCTCTGCTAACTTCACAGACTCTAGAGCTGTGGCGTGATACCTAAGAAGGCATCTCAGAAAATATCGGGCAAAAAGCCTTTCTGACACCACGGTCTTCCTACTGGGTCTGTGTCTTTTGTGTGTAGCACCAAAGGAGCCTCCTTTCTCTCCATAATTTATCAGGGGAAAAATTCTTTCTTGAACTTTGGACTGAATCTAATTGTGTTCCTCTCATCTGCGGAATTGTGTAACAGCTCACAGCCTCCTCTTGGTATCAGCAGTGAAATGGCCCCACTAACCATAAAAGTTGCCATGCCCCCTGCTGCTGCTCGGAGCATCTATACGTTTAGAGATGAGAAAATGAGTTATTTCTGTAACTGAGTTTTAGAAAGGAAAAAACTTTGATATGCTCACTTTTCTTGTGTCTCCAGTTATTCACATAATCATTTCACATGTCAGTATGTACCCACAGGAAATTGGGCAGTGAGGCCTAAAGGCCTCAGTGGGTTCTGCTCCCCACCCCCAACTTTCCTCTGTGTTGGTTTTGTTTGAGGTCTGTGTTTAAAGGCATACTCTGGGCATTTGCCATAAACAATGGCTTGCATTCTCTTATCCTACCGGTGGAGAGAGATGTAGAGAAGAGATGGGTGGGTGGTGTTGAGGGTGAGGTGGCATTAGCCGGGGGTTAGAGGTCAGGGTTTGAGGAGACACCGTACCTTCTTCCTGAGTTTTCCCTAGGGAGAGTGGTTCTTGATCCCTTGTGAGACCGGGAGAAGGGCATAGGTTCACCAACCGCTGAGCCCAGGAAAACAGTGGAACTCACTTCACTAGACACTGCTTTGAATCCCCTGCTCAGCACAATGCAGGCAGGAACTGCTCTTCAGGTCTTGCGAAACGGAGATACTGAGCACTTACTTGGTTCATGAAGGTGCATCAGCCCATGACCTGGGTTATTCTCAACACAAAGCCTCTCCCTACTTCGGCGTTGCCCTGTTGTCCGTTCTTTTCCTCTTCACGGGTGCCTGGGATGCTTGCCTTAGCTTGCATTATTCTGCATAAATTATGTGTAATGGGCAGACCAGCCTCACAGGGGACTCCGGTGACAGGCCCTCTCAGGGGTAGTGCTGGGTTCAAAACATGGCTCAGTCCCGCACGTCCCCCCCAGAAGTGATCTCAGAGCAGTCATGTCTGGGTTCCCTGTGTACAGGGACCAGGAGCGGCTCAGGGCTGCAGGGATTATGTGACCCAAATAGAGGATGAGTGGACCACCACCCAGACAAGGCCCAGCTGCTGAGGGCCCCGCCAGCCCAGTCTTGCCAAAGATCATTGCCGTTGCTTTCGAAGGAAAGGTCACTCGTTTCACAGCCTTAAATCCTAGTCATTGCTTCCACATCTCTGCTGCCTTCTGTTTCCTTTGACAGCTGTCACTGGGGAAGTGGACGAAAACTGCCCATGATGCGTGCCTAAACGCCCGTCTGTGGGTGACACCACTGGGTGGGAGGTAAGGCAGCAGGAACACTGTGCGCTGAACTCCCTAGAGCCCGGGGGCGCGGATCCACCATCCCAGGGAATGGTGGAGAATGGGAGGAGGCAGTTTAGCCTGTAGCGAGGCTTGATGCTTCTGCTTTCGGCCACACCTTCCAGGAGCTGGGCCCCACACTACTGGCAGAAGAGACTGTCTCCTTCCTCCTCCTCCTGCCCTACAACTGCCTTTGACCTGGCCTGTGGCTCAGCTCAGATTTGTCTCCTGCTCCATGGTCTTTGTAATTGGTCCTCACCGGCACCTTTATTTTTTTTTTTTTAAGATTTTATTTACTTATTTTTCAAAGAGAGAGAGAGCACAAGCAGGGGGAGTGGCAGGGAGAGGGAGAAGCAGGCTTCCCGCAGAGCAGGGAGCCCGATGTGGGGCTCAATCCCAGGACCCTGGGATCACAATGACCTGAGCCAGAGGCAGACGCTTAACCGACTGAGCCACCCAGGGACCGCACACCAGCACCTTTATTGAAGGTCAAGAGGCTTTAACTCTCACCAGGGAGGTGAAGAAGTCTCACGTTATCCTATAGGGTTCCCAGAGCCCCACTAGGCCCGGAGTTCTTACTTTGAAACTAAAAAATAGCAACGGCATAGGACAAATCTGATTTACCGTTTCTGCTCCTGATGGTCCGTCCCTAATTAGCTTCTTCATAAAGTTCTTAAAGGATCTTTTGCACTGAGACTTATTTGAAGTGTCCGTTGGGAGTGTGTTTATTTCATTGTGTTTATCAGCAGTGGTTCTCAGCTGGTGGCAATCTTGGCTGCTCCCCCACCGCCCCACACACACCACCCCAGGACATTTGGCAATGTCCGGAGACATTGTGATCATCACAACACAGGTACAAGGTTGGGGGAACTGGAACCTAGTCGGTAGAGACTGGGGATGCTGCTATACATCCTGCAGTCCACAGGACAGCCCCACCGCAAAGAAGAATCTGGCCCCAAATGTCAAAAGTGCTCAGGCTGAAAGCCCCTGCTCTACGGTAGGCCCTTGACCTTTACATCTCAAGACCTTCAGGCATCACTGAATTCGCAAATGCCTCTTGTACTATTTCATTTCCTTATAAAACTTTTGGCTAAGAACCATCACTTTCTTTTTACTTCCATCACGAGAACCTTCACTGGGGCCATTTTCCATAAAGAGAAAGGGTCCACCCTTCCTAAATGTTACTGCTCAGAAAAGCAATATGCAGAGAACAAAGCTGCAGGGAGCTGTAGGAACACGGTTCAAACTTGTTTTAATCCTTCTGGGATCTGTCTGTGGGATCAAACGGGGACTGTGATGTTTAAAACGGGACAAAGACTGGGACTTACGTCAGAGAAGACCTAGCCAGATCCAGTCAGCTCAGCTGAGGATTCCTAGCTGGAGGCTGTGTGCCATGCACCCTGAGAAGTGACACACAGGCCAC